GTACTCAAGTATCATTGAAATAAAGAACAGAATTAAAGTAATGACCAAATGCTTTGTTAATCTCCAGTCGCAACAAACAAGTCTAGTTTATTGTGAAACTGGAATCTGACATCACTATGAGACTCACCACAGCGAACAGTCCTCTCCGTGTTTACTTTCCGATGTCTGCAGATGGTTTGACTAATTTCGAGCTGCTCACGAACAAGGATGTCTTTCCAGGAATTTGGTCTAAAAGTCGATCATACTTAATTTTAGTCATCACTTTAATGGCGAACTCACTATGAGGCAATAGTCACTAATGAATAGAACTCGTGTCTAAAAATATCGTTAAAATCAGTATGACAACGAAATTTCGTTTCAACGATATTCGAGTATATGAAGTAGAGATGCAGTTTTCTCATCCATTTTTCGTCATTTATGACTGAAACTTTAGCAATAGATAGAGTAATCAACAGTATATCTGTTGTATAGGCGTCATATCAAATAATAACAATGCAAAGTATAGATTGAAAAAATTAGGGTGTTTCATTCATTTTGATCAGGACAATATATGCTGCAAAGAAAGTTGAAATTATAGGGTAATCTCAAACTCTACTATTTGAAAAAATTGAAGTTTTAGTCTCCTTTTCAGAGGAATTAGATATTTTCCTACAAATTTTAGGACAATTTTAAGTCACACTACTATATATACATACTCAATAACTATGACAAGAAAGTTTACAAGATCATCTTGAAATGTGTACGACATTATTTTAAATATTGACAGACAGGAACAACAAATAGAACATTTCTTCTTAAACAAAGTCCCTTTCATTTTAATGAAATAGCTAATAAATCAAATGATAATAGAAATGCCTACCAGATGATCATTAATCATCTTGTTAATAGGAAAATGCGAATTAGTATCCAAGTCAAAATCATTTCAAAATAATTAAATTCTATTCAATGATTGTCCAATATTCTTTGAAGATCTGCTATATATTAACTTATATGAAATAAAATTCGATTCAACATCGTATGAAACTATAATAACATTATGTAAACTGTCCGGAATGTTGGAAAACTATTGACTGTGTTTCTCTATTAAGACTTTTGTAACACTATATTTGTTATCTGAATCATGGTAAATATTTAAATATTTTTAATAACACAATTTTATCATGAAAAAGGAAGATAAGAATAATTTTGTTAGCAAAAAAGTTTGCTCTCAATACGCCAACGCAACACAAAGAAGAGAGTTTGTTGGGAAAACGATGAAACGTCAATTGAATTTGATTTACATGCGTCACTAAGCCATCTGTCATGTCCATTGAATATTGATTTGCAAATAGCTGAAAACATCACGTCGCAATCTGTTGCATAAAACATTGTAGTTGAGAGTCTTGCATATGAGAAGAAAGAGTGGATTATTTATGTTCGATCGAAATTCATTGTGTTGATTCTTCTAGCATATCAATTAAAGAATAAAACCAATCTGCTTTGTTTTTCTTTTTTTAGACTTGATATTAAAATGCAGACGAATGCTAGTAATGAAACAGATTTTATGCCAACTGAATCACAGAAAAATATCACTCATGAGATCTATCGTGTATGTTTAACTATCATTTTTATATTAGGTGTCTTTGGACATTTTCTCAATCTACGATTGTTTACTCGCCCAACATTGATAAAAAATTCGTGTTGTCACTATTTTCTCGGTTCGTCTTGCGTTGCTCTCATTCGGTTGTTCTTTGGTGTATTTATATGTATGCTTCATTTGGGCTATCGCATTGATACACGAGAGTCTACTATCGAATGGTGGTGTAAAACTCGCCTTTCGATCATTTATACATCGTACTTGATTTCATCTGGTCTGAACACTGTGGCTTCATTTGATCGCTACGCATCTAGCTGTCGACAGGGTCGATATCGACGTTTTTGCCAATCAATGCTGGCTCAGCGTATTATTGTTATCGTGATTGTAGTTTCATGTATTATTAATTTACATATGCCATTCAACTTGTTCATTGTTGATGGAGATTGCTGGACAAGACCTGGATGGTATCGAACAGCCTATGATATATTCTTTCTGATTGTATATAGTCTCTGTTGTCCAATTCTGAGTGCAGCTTTTAGTTTATTGACTATCAAAAATCTACGTCAATGTCGTTTGCCACGTTTATATCAAGACAAGGTGAAAGACTTTCAGCTGATGATATTTGTTCATACAATATGTTTCATTCTTCTCAGCACACCATTCGGTATTCATAAACTGTACTGGACTTTGACAGAGCATTATCCAATCATGCTGCCAGACCAATATGACAGTTTGAGTATGTGCATCGCTAGGGTTTTATGGTACACTAATGATAGCGCTGGATTCTTTATTTATTCGCTTTCATCAGCAAGATTTCGTGAAGAACTTTTTGCATCACTCCGCAGATATAGATTTTACCGATTGAAACCAAAACGCTTATATTTACCCGAATTCATCGCTGTCAGTCACAAATCAATCGAATGTTTTGATAAACTTTAACTCATATACTGTGCAGCACAATGGTGTTGCAAACACTATAATATTTTATAGAAAGTTCGAGAAAAGCTTCCTTCTATATATCCTGATAACCAAAATTGTGCTCTATAATTCTACATGATTTTATTTTTTCTTTTGATGATATTGTAATACTGAGAGCATAGAAAAAATAGTAATAGTTTGACGAAAAAAAAAACTATAGAAACAAATTTATTCCAACAGCAGGTACAATCGTAAGTATTTATATAGTAAATAAAACAGTTTTCGACAAATCAAAAATAAATACTATTTAATTTATTAAATAAATATTTACGATTGTACCTGCTGTTGGAATAAATTTAAATAAACAAATATTTACCTTGAAACTTGTTGCAGAATAAAGTCTAAATTTTAAAAAATTATTTAATTTTTTTTAATAAATACTTACGATTGAATCTGTTGTTGGGATAAGTCTAAATAAAAAGAAATATAATGTAATATTTTTATTTCATACTTACCATGATATCTGGAGTTGGTGATACATCTTAATAGAGAAATATAATTTAATTTTTTTTTAATAAATACGTACCATTGAACTTGATACCGAGAGAAATCTGAATAAGAAAAATAGTTCTTTTTTTTTAATTGATACTGACCATTGAATTTGATGTTGGATTCAAAATTAAATCTTGATTGAGATGGGCATATAACTCACGACTAGAATACGATCATATAGAATCGTATACAGTGATCGTCTTCACCTCCTGTATATCAATATCGTATTTTGTCATATTTCATTGTATACGACTGTTTCTGATCGTGCTTTTTGAACCTGAACAATTAGCAATTTACAGTGTGGAACTATAATGATGATTGATTCGTGTTCTTTCACTTCTGTTTAGCTGTGTTATGTCCTAATAAGCCAAAGACACTTAGAAAGAAACATGAACAAGAGGAGAAAAATACCTTTGTGGAAGAAAAGAAACAAAAAAAAGGTATGTATATGTATATCGTACGCGTCATATGCATGATAGTAGAACAAAGAGAGAGAAAAGAAAGAAATATCCAACATAAGTAAATCAAACTATAAAAGAAACACTTTTTCTGATGCAACTCGCCAGTTCTCTCCAACCATTACAACAAAAGAAAAATATTGTTAAAACTTTCAACTGTGGACATCATTCATAGACTGTAGATATCTAAAAAATCAAATATTTTCCTCCGTACACGACATGGACAGTTCATATTTTTTATTTATTAGTTTGGCAGTAAGACCTTTAATTTGACCTGAGCATATCTAATGTTCTTCATTTACAGTACGCGATTCAAAAAATTTCTATGTTTATTTTCCTTCGTAAATCTTTCTTTTTTTTCTGAATAAGTTAATAAAAATGTATAATAAAAACATATTGAAAGTATTTTTACAATCGAATCATATCGACCAAGAATTATTAATTACCAATGCTTATTAATTCTGGATTTTTTTTCTGCAAAAAATCTTTAGTTTTTACATCTTGTATGTATGACAGCGAAACACGCTCTATCTGTTCATAAAAAAAGAAAATTTTTTCAAGTTTTCTATACAAAAAAAAAAGTACCCGAACCACTAATTTTAGATAACTCTAAGCAATTTAATTCCACTAATCATGATGAATATGATCATCATTTCTCTATTGTTTTCTATATGTAGAAAAACATTATATAATGATTATTTTTGAAATTACTTCATTTTCTTGGATATTATTCACATGGTCACATTCTACTTTAATTAATAAATTCATATGCCTCTTCGAAGTTGAAATATACTCATAAAAAATTACTGCTATGTTGTCTATTGTCAAATTGATTGTTAGATCATTTTTATTTTAATGATTGACGATTATGGTGTGTAGCGATTCATCAATAAATAGAGTATGAACATCGTACTCGAAGATAATTCGTTTCTATCTGATTCATAAATTTGATGAGTACTGGTTTAGAAGAGATTGATCTATCCCATAAGTCTCACAGTTACTATGTAGACTTCATACTATTGCATTTCTTTTTATAGGAATATATATCAAGAGTGAGTGTGAATAACGATGTGGGATTGTTTTTAACCATATTCATACCCACACCTTCAAGCCACTGTTATTTATACTTAAGAAAAGAAGTTGATAGAAAGTAAGAAAAATGAACATTTGTTTTTGATGTTCTTTTGATTATAACTCAAATGATTCAATCATAATAACTTGATTTTCATTGTTCAATGTCGAAATATGATTATTAAATTGTACATATACCATATATAAAACTATTTTTCGTGAAACTTTTGCATCACAAATATTAGAGATAATCTAAATTAATGTTTTCTTTTTTAAATAAAATTTTAAAATCAAATCAAGATTAATGATCAGCCGGACATTCTTCCATGAATCACTGAGTCTATATAAGAACATAGCAAAATTTCATTTTATTTATGTAAACCAGAAAAAAAATAACAAATTAGAAGAATAGAAACAAAGAAAGATTAATATAAATGTTCACTTCTTGATTGTGCTATTGAATTTTGTTTTAAAATTCTTGCTTCTGATTGTTTAGCTCGTTTACATGATATAACTATAAATTTTTTATTTTCAATTCCAAATCGAATATAATTATTATCATCTTCATTATTTGATATTTTATCAATTAATTCTGCTAAATGTTTAATATTTTTAATTTTAATATCATTAACAGTTTCCAATACAGAATTTGTAAAATCTGATGTTATTCCATGATTAATATCATCAATAAGTATTTGATTAATAATAACAATTTGTTGATTTAATTCTTCTAAATGACTATGTAATGCTAAATTAACTAAATTTGTTGGAGCTTTTCGATGCCAATCACGTTTACCAAATTCATATAAATAAAATCGACTTAATACTGTAAATACAATACCAGCATAAATTAAATATTCAGGATGTTTATCATGTGAATGTAATGGAACAAGTGTTTGATTATTATCTAATGGACTTATTAATGTTAATTCTTTACCTTGTCTTATTATTGTAAATGTAATTGTATCATCAACAAATTTTAATTTTTCTAAATATCTAAAACTAAGTCTTTCACCACGACGAAAATAGATTGTACCATCATCGGCAATTGGTATATTATCAATAGCTGTTATAACATCATCTTCTTTTAATACTTTATTAAGAATACATGCTTGTTCAACTGATGTTACTAAGATACCATGTTGATCATCATTCAATTTTAAATATTCACGATATGATGTATTTTCCATTGGTTGATAATTAAATCTCATTATTGGAAATGCTGTATATTTATTATGTAATTCAATATCATTTAATACATGTTTGATTACTGATACAGGCATAATGTAGCCAATTGATTGAGCTTGAGCTTGACCTTGAAATGACATACCAACAACATGTTTACCTGAACAAGAAATTCAAAAATATAATTCAAAATATTTATTCATCATGAACGGTAATAGATCTTGACTGATGGACATAATTCTTACATACTGGAAAAAATGTTATATATTTAGATTCAATTTTATATCGAATAAACTACTGAATAAAGTCGAGAGAAAATAGAGTATCAATTTTCTGCAAAGACAAACGAATAGTTTTTAAAGTATGAAATATAGTAAAAGAAAGGCAAAGTCAGATCTCCGATAGAATATAACTTCGAGATAAGCTATTGAAGTTAAACAGCAAACATATGATTATTTGAACAACATTAACGAAATTTACAGTTAATCTTTCACCAAAACAAATGATATATATATATATATTTCTCTTTCTCCTTCTTAGAGAACGGAAAGATCAGCAGTAGAAATTGTCAATGAATGTAGAGTATATGATTGTTTCTAAACTTTATGTTAATCATCTGCAGATGAAATCTGTGAACTAAGAAAAGTATTAATGCTAAACATATTCTCTATTTCTTTTTCGTTTATTTGTCTAAAATACTGAGTGTTAACATCCAAGTTATAGACTTTTGTCTGTTAACTACGGAAATATACTTCAATATTAGGCATGAATATGAATATTTCAAAATCGTTATAAAAAAGAATTTACATACTCTGTCTCGAATAGTGTTTCTAGAGAAAACAACTCTAAAATTTCTTTCTCCTCAACTTTTTTTTCTCATTTACAGTATTGAAGAGTAAAACTGATTTTCAACTTCTAGATTATTGATTTTTTTTCTCTATACTAAACATTTTGAAACCTCAGCATCATTATGCGGAAAAAATGTTTTCAGTGAAAAGTGAAAGATTAAAAACGGACTGCATTTTCATTTTAGTGAGCGTAACAAAATATAATACATATTTTATTGATAAGTTAAAAGTTTGTATCTTAGAAAAGTTTTTTTTTTTGTACCTTGAATAGCTGGTCCACCACTATTACCAGGATTTGTTGCAGCATCTATTTGTATTGTTAATAAAAATTCAAGTGAATGCAAATATGTTGACATAACAACTCTTGAAACAACACCTTTTGTTACTGATAAATTATCACCACCTATGAAAGAAATATAGATGAAATTAGTATATAAAACAAAAATAAGAATTTCATTTATTTACCTATTGGAAATCCAACAATTGTTATTGATTCTTGTAATCTAGGTATATCATTACTAAATGTTAATGGTTCTAATCTATTCCAAAATTTATTATCATCAACAGTCATAATAACTAAATCACATTCATGTGCAATATATAATATACGTGCAGGATATTTTTTAGCATCACCATGTTTTCGAATACGAATACACGATGCATTTGTAACAGCATGAGCATTTGATAGAATCCATCGATTTTTTATTATAAAACCTGATGCAGTTTTAACAACTTGACGTTTCATTTGCCTAAAATGACAATGACATTTGTAAGTTTTATTTCATAACACCATTTTTAATCTCTTAAGTTCATGAACAAAAAAGTATCTACTTTTAAACATAAAGATTAAGTCCGATCTAATCTTTGGACCAAATGTATTATAAATAATTCCAGATAGAAGGCAAAAACTACAGGTTTATTATTAGCAAAAGAGTTTAACTACTTGCTATCATAAGCCTAGGTTTTCTTACAAGACATAACTTTTTATAAAAACATAGAAGTAATAGGATTTTAAGCTAATTCGATTCATGAACTATCTTACCAAGGTAAATAAAAATTGCATGGTATTGAAGCGCAAAAGACTTTGACAACACTATTTAACACTAATTCCAATGATTCAATAGCATCAGGATCGGTTTCTGTTTCTAATAAAGAATGAACAGTTTTGATTTGTGATTGTTGCTTTTGTAATGGTGGCGGTTGTTGTTGTTGTTGATGATCCGTTTCTACACCATCACCTAAATCCAATTGATCTTTAATCAATGGTAATAAATCCTCTGTCAATGATACTGGATCATCTTCGAGTTGAACACAATCTTCCATAGTAGTTTTTTAACCAAATATCGATCTAGAATAAACAAGATGGTATCAACATAGTTTATTGAGAATTTTTTACATATCTAGAAAACAGAATAAACTACACTATTTTCATATGTGATAAGTTTCAAATAGAAATGAAAATAAAAGTAAACATGAAACAAAGATATCCAGGCAGATAACAAAAGTTTTTTTTTCTGATAGTAGAATGGAGTAACAAGACTAATACTCTTCGATTGAAACTATGGTATTTTTATCTTCTGGGCTACGATGGGAAAAAAGAAAAAGAAACGAATTGATGAAAGAGAAATATTCGGCACTGTTTTTAAATAAATGCTAAGTTAACATTAATTTAATTATAATTTGAATCAAATTATAAAGTATGGAAGTTTAAAGATGTTGTATAACCAGAAGTAATACTCATGCACTCCGCCCTTTCATAACTCTAGTAAGTTCTACGTTGATTTCAAAATTGATTAAGCTAAACCTATGCACGGAACGAGAGATGAGGGTTCTGAAACAGAGCGGACAGTTTCAAACTCACTACTGGCATTCTCACTCTACGCTCTCATCTTTCGGGATTCTGTATCGTACATACCATTTTTTACACTAACTTAGCGATTATCAAATTATTATTGTATGGGAACTGGCAATCGTTAACAATGTTATAAGTATCCTATTGTTTATCTTATTCTGAATGATTTTTTACAGACAAGAATGTATGTTAATCGAACTTCTTCAGTTTTACGCATAATAAGCATAGGTATTGCATGTAGTGAATCTAACATTAATTCTGGGTATAAGTTAGAAATTTTAAATGATCTGTTCGGTTAAGTAACTATCCTATATGAACGAAACAGAATGTAAATGAAGTGAAAATGAAAAGAACAGACTAACAATCGGACGCGAGAATGATAAAAGAATAATGTTTTCTTTTTTTCTTTCTCCGTGTACTGGATAGAAAGAAAAGATAGAACGAGAAAATTTTCTTTAAAATGTGAATGAATTATGAACTCTGTTTCTATCTGACGAAAAGAAATAGATAAAATAAGGTGCCCGCAGCGCAACATTCAAGTAAAAATTTTTTCCCGTTTTTCATACATTATTTGATAGAGCATGAGCTGCTGATCACGAAAATATACTTCTTAGGCTTAGCAAATGCTTTCTTGTGGTTGAAAAATACGAAATACTCGATAGGTGTAGTTTTTCGTGGAAAATGCATACTTTTCAAAATGTGAAAACTTTTCTACTTTGTTGTTTTTTTCACCTTCTGAAAATGTTTTTTTTCAGATTCAGCATCAGAAACTGAGTATAAAAACGTTGTTAAATCGACTATAGACGCAAGACTCTATTAGTGGTATCGCTTCGAATTGCGTCGAGTGCACTATGCACAGGTTGATTTTGTAAACCTATTTAGTTTTTCTATGTAAGTGACGAAGTCAAATATTTTATCCCATTCGACTCATCATACCACCAGCTACAAAAATACGATCCGTTCTTTTCCTCTTTTCTGTCTTCTGTCGAGAAAAATCGTGTTTACTGGTACTATAGTCATTTTAGACGGTATTCATCGATTTTCGAATTCAAATAAAGCTTTTTGTCAAAAACTAAATACAGATTCTGAATCAGCACAAAAAACTGCATCAAATGACGTATCTTTCAAGTCAATTTGACAACTTTCATTTTTTCTCATTTTTCCAGGTATTTTCGGAGGACTGTAATTTTTGTGCATATGTCAAAAATTGAAAGTTGTCAAATTGACTTGAAAGATACGTCATTTGATACAGTTTTTTTGTGCTGATTCAGAGTCTATGTTGATTTTTTAACAAAAAATTTTATTTGAATTCGAAAATCAATGAATACCGTCTAAAATGATTAAAGTACCAGTAAACACGAGTTCTCTCAACATAGGAAAGAAAAGGAAAAAAACTGATCCGTAGCGTTGTAAGGGATGATATGATAAATCGAATGAGATCAAATATTTGACTTCATCACTTACGTGGAAAAACTAGATAGCTTTACAAAATCCACCTATACGCATCTCACTCCATACGATTCGAAGCGCCACTACCAATAGAGTTTCGGGTCTATAGTCGATTTAACAACTTGTCTATACTCATTTTTTGATGCTGAATCTGAAAAAAATATTTTCAGGAGCAAAAAAAAAGAATAAAGTGAAAAATTTCACACCTTTCGAGTATTTCGTATTTTTCGACCTGAAGGAAGCATTTTCTAAGGCTAAAAAGTAGATTTTCGTGATCAGCAGCTCCAGCTCTATCAAATGATGTGAAAAAAAGGCAAAAAAAAGCTTTTACTGAAAATTTGCGTTGCGGGCACCTTACATCATTAGCAAGAGTTCATTTTCAATGTAAAATCATTAGATGCATTAATTCTCTTGTCTTTTTCAACTTTGGAATATAGCTAAAGATCCCTTGATATAATATTTTCGGACGACTACATGAAAACAATTGATCTCCTATTAGCCACACGTTACAATAACATTGAGTGTATTTATCATAAACTCGAAAAATATCGAACGAGCGTTATATTATATTCAGAAACCATTAGATTATACAAAATCGCTACCATCCAATATTCCATTAATATCACGAATCTTTTGTAATCTAGCTGTGACTTATGAACAGTGTGAAGATTATTCGAAATCAGAATTCTATTGGAAAAAAGGTCGCGAACATCATCTTCAATCAATGCCAAATAATACAGATGTGCAACGGCCTATCTCTTTCAAGCTGTTGCAATAAATTTGGTTGATCATCAAAAGTATGAGGAATTGGTTGCATATCTTAAACAATCATTGACACTTTGATCAGAAATAACTCCAAACGATCATATGATGCTATATTACTATATTGAAGTGAACTATTATCATCTCAAGAATAATGATCAAGCATTAATTCTATTGAATGAATCAAATGTATCATTCAATTCATTTGTAATAGACATATTGAAAAAACTTGAAATTATTCTTTTAAAAACAGGTCAATGGTCGGAAGCAGGTGCATAATATATTGGATTATTAGATTATCAACTAACAGCAGAGACATATTTGAATATTGAATTAATCAATATTAAACAAGAAAATTTTCAAAATACATTAGAAAATCTTAAGAAGACATCTGAATTAACGAGAGCTGCTGGAGATTTATCAACACTAGCAATAGTAACACAATACATTGAATTATGTAGAAGACGATAAAACTCGAACCCCATTTTCTAATTTAGAGAGCTCGTCCTCTTCGCAAAAGCAGTACAGATTCTCTCAAATTATGAGACAGAAATCAAATTGTACAAGAACCATAATTTCAATAGAGTCGCCCTATTTATTTCTAATCTAATGGTCAAGCTTATATAAAGTATGTAAAAACTAAAATATGCCGTATTATCTTTCGGAACATTACTATCTGTGTACCTAGATATAGTCGACCTGTATTCTCAATGGACAGCAGTCATACCCACAAACAGCATATATGACTACTCATAGATTCGGTTTGAATAATCTAGGTCATTTTGTGTAATGCACAGGTTGTAAAGAAGAACAAAAAGTCTATTAGACTTGTTTCGCAACTTTCTCAATGCCTGACGTCATAGAGTCAATAACATGTAGTGAAGATGTAATTACGTAAGAACGTTTCGTTCTGCAAACCAGCAATCAAATGAATGAATCAGAATGTTGCATGAAGAAAAAAACAAACGCTGCGAGTAGGATTTGAACCTACGAGGGAAGATCCCATCTGACTAGCAATCAGACGCCTTAAACCGCTCGGCCATCACAGCGGCATCTTTTTCTGTTGGATTTTACGTTTCATTGAGGAAAAAAACGATTTATCAAAACAAAGATCATGATCAACATTTTGGGAACTAATCGAAAATGACTGGACCTCCACATATGTTTTCGCACCTTCGTTATGACCATCACGTCATCATTTATACATTGTAATTCATTTGAGAAAGGTGATTTGATATCGTACGTGACTATGAATAAATCAATCACATAAATTGATCAAAACTATATTAATATTAGGATCGCCGATACATTTGATTGAAACAAACTTAGAAGCTTGACTGATCTTAGTCAATACTAAAGTATAGTTTCTGAAGTATCTTGGCACAGTTGAATGTAAATATTTGAACGTTCATTTCTGGTGATCGATCGTGTTAATGTTAAATAGTCTTTCAATCATTCAACTGATGCATTTTTTGTCAATGGTGATAATGATCGGCAACAAATATCGGTTCGTCTTCTCATTCCAGCATTTAATCTATAACATTCAAAGTTTTCTCATTCAATGAATAAGATCAATAATCATTTTTCGGCGTTCGAATTGCAGAAAAAGTATTTCCTATTGCATTGCCAAAAGTGAATGACACAATCTAATACACTCACGACTGTTGCACCATCGTTTATTAAAATCTATCCTTGTAATGTTGGCAGAGTAGATGATAACTGATTTGAAGGGTGTGGGTGAATATTAACAAAGTATTCACACCCACACCCACCCAATATAATTGCGCGCTTCATTTCTGAAATATTTTGGCGCCGCAATTTTTTTGTCTTCAACGAAATAATCTGCCATTGATTGACAAAGTAATGCAATTGCAAATAGTCTTGGTATTTGTTTTATTTCTATCTTTCTTTCTCATATAATTCTTAAAAATCAAGTTCAACCAAAAAAAAAAGTAAATTCACCTTAGACGTGTTCGAAAGCTCGCCATACTAAACATGAATACGAATCGTTTCGAATAAATGGAATGACCAATTGTGTAGTGGAAAAATTAGGAGAATATCTTTTGTCAATTTCATCATTAATATGAAAACAATAGATCGGCAACATAATCGACGATCATTGTTGAATCTGTATCTATAAATCAATTGGATTCATCGTTGTTTTTCAATCGAATAGACATCTTGCAGAATAATGACATGTGTTTCGAAAGTAAGTTTGCTCTTCATTTTATATAATATTAAAGTTTTTTTTTTGTTTCTA